GTGAACGGAGATGTCCATCGAATTGGGCCTTGTAAGCCGACGATGGTTGTAGGTCCCATCATTAGTGAGATTCCAGATGATAGAATCACGAACTCCAGGTTGTATGTTGACATTGGCTAGCTTTTCCGAGAGAGTCGTGAATTGTTGAATGTGAACAATGTGGGGTGGTAGTAGGGGTGGGGGTGTGGGGTTTTGGGTGACGAGGTGCATCATATAGTTTCCCTACGAGGGTGTAATAAACTTTAATTAGTCGAGAATGTGGAACGCGATACATGAAGTTCGGACTTCAAATATTATTTGTGGATTTTGGTCGAAGTAATCCATTGCAACTATGTATATAGTAGCTGGAAGACGGAACACACAATGATGATCATACAGATCATAGTATGGCACATTATACCTTGACACTAGGCTAATTCCTAAAAAGACCACAGAAGACAAAGTTATATAGTATAATGTTGCCAGACCACGAAAAATATTTTGAGTTGTTGACAATATCATGGAATAAATGGGAAGACATCTTTATTACCGAGTGTTAACGTTTTCAAGATGCCCGTATTTGCGTTTGTATATCAAAACATTTTATAGCATTATACATTGTGTGTAACCGTTGGATAACAATACCGGTGTAGAGGAGGCCGGGGTTGTGCAGGGGTGATAATGTAGATAACAATAAAGTTTTTGCGAATTTAATAGATAATATCACGTTTGAAGTTGAAGTTCGCTAACATGTGACCATCATCTTCGGGATCATATTGGAGGGAAAAGTTAGAATAAAAAATAAGATTAGTAAGCACATTCCATATACAACCCTACTCGCAAATGATGCTATATAACAGTAGAGGCCACCGGTGGAACGCTAACCAGATAGCATAGCATTAAAATAGGAAATTAACTGAGTTGACACTTGGTTAATTTGCATATTTATGGCATACTAATTTAAAGCCTTGTAAATAGATTGCAGTATATTTACTCGTTACCGAAATTCGTAACGTGATATGTTGTCGCACACATGTGCACTTTTGTTTTTGAAAAACATATCACAAAAATGGCAATCATTTAAAATGTATAATTTATTTCACAACCATATGTACATTTTCTTACCGGTGTATGTAACGTGTAAACATAATCCCAGTGTCCAAGGAAATGACATTATTACAGCACACACATATTACATAATCCCATAGTTACTAGCTGTAATGTTCCGGTTTGAGCATTCCGTTCCGTTTTTCAAACTCCACTTCTTTTCATATAGCAATCCCTGATCAAAGAGAGAACAATATCCATTTCAAAACATTTCTAACATAATCCTTAGTTCAGATCGACGAAGTAATGTCACTCGAGTATTATCAACCTGACTGCAATCTTTTTCTGTCGGTAAGGATTGCACCAGAGCACCTTCTACTTCT